AGATTAAATAGATGCATCTATGGTCCGCGCTATTCGACCCTCTGGCAGTGCACAGTTTAAATATTATTGGATCAGGCCGTACATCCTCGGCATGATTTGCGCATGCTTGTATTGCTTGCCTTGAGATTTATTGATATTGCTATCTGCTCTCCCGACTTGAGATAATTGTTAATTAATGGATTATGAATCCGGAGACTTTAAATAAAAAAGGAACTTTCACCTGTTTAGTGACTCATTTGAATCTACTGTTGTTCTTAATAAATTCGTGAGTCATCGCATTAATAATATTATTACTGGACCTTTAGTAAGTGTCGAAGTTGCCATCTCGTCTCTACTTCTTCGAGATTAGGCGGGATACTTACTGAGTGCACGTTGTTTTCGTACTCATACTATACTTGCTGTGCATTTAAGTTGCACAGGTTTATGTGCGACTAGTGGCTTAGTGGCTTAGTGGCATAGCGGCATGGCTGATACGGAGACTTAGGTGAGCTGCACTTATCGAGACGACCCGCAGCCAGTAGAGTCTCCTTCAGAGTATTGTACTGTATTTTTATTTCTGTCCACTTTGTATACCGGACAGTTACTGCATTTTATTTCATTCCCTAGTAACTGCTCATGCACTTGCGACACCGGGTTCTGGGATGTCTATGGGTTTATTCAGAAATATAAAATTTGTTAAATGTTTCATTATTTATTCAGTGGAATTTATTATGTATTGTTTAAACGTATAAAAGAAGTGATTTCAGAAATATTTATAACGAGAAGTTATTAGTTATTTGTTGTTGGCTTGCCTGACAATGTTGTCCGGCACCATCACAACCCTTAGTGAATTTTAGGTCGTGACAAAGTCTTAGTAATTACACATTAGTACCTTAGATTTGAATTGGCAGGCACTATTAATCATGTCATGGTTGGTTATGAAGTTTAGTGTCACGACCCGGATTTTCCACCATCGGGAGTCGTGATGGCGCCTACTCGTAGAAGCTAGGCAAGCCAAATTAATTACTTTTCCATAAATGAACAGACCTTTTTAACAATTTATAGCAACAATATAGAATAACGAAATTAAATAATAGCGGAAGCCCGAATTATAAAACTGAATCAAAAATGCGGAACAGTCAATGAAAGCCTCTACCCAAGACTGGTGTCACAATACTCACGAACGATTATGAATCACTAAATACAACGTTTGAAAGAAAACATAAGCTGTTTGTCTCGAATACAAAGAGACAACAGACTAAGAGAGAGATTAAGGGAGACGCCGGGCCTGCGGACGCCTGCAAGGCTACCTCGGGTCTCTCTGGACTGAAGGTCTGCTCCCGTACTAATGCTGCTGCTGCTCGAAACCTGGACCTGTGCAAAAATGCACAGAGTGTAGCATCAGCACAACCGACCCCATGTGCTGGTAAATGTTTGGCCTAACCCCGGCGAGGTAGTGACGAGGCTAGGACCAGACTCCAGATAAACCTGTGCAGATATATATACAAGTACAACGGAAAAGTAGCAAGAAAATAACAATTTAAGCTGGGGAAGGGAGCATGCTTCAGCCCCTCGACTATTCATACATATGTATTAGATTGAATTTTGTTAAAAACTTAAATAAAGAATATAAACTTTTTAGTACTGGGAAAATATATTTCTGATTGCAAAATCTATCTTCTTCATGACTATGATTAACCTGAGATGTGAAAGAAAATACTTGTTTAAGTGTAAGTGGGTTTCTTTATTTTATTCGTTGCACTTTTCTTGTTAAACGTCAGAACCTATTCCTATGAACCAGTGATTAAGATTGAACCTAAAATAATAATTTGCCTCATGAGTTCACATAGGATTTTGGCGTGATATACTGTTACCATGACTTATCTTCTTTCGTGTCAAAGATTCATGTCATAGGTGTGAGGTTTGTTAGAGCAGTAGCTATGAACAATCTATAAGTTAGTGTGCTATGATAAAAATTCACACTTAATGAGTTAAAAGAAATAGCCTGCCTGGGATAATTTGTAAATGATTTTGAGTAATAGTACATAATTCCATCCTTGAGCGAGAATTTCATTAAGCGAGTAGCCAAGCTAATTAAACAAGCTATGCTATTTCTGATGTGTTTTATGTCATAATGAAAAGAATAGCTTACTCTCATTCTAATAACAATATGGTAGACACTACGTCCTAGGATCTTGTATTTGCTTGATAAAAGCTGATCTCAAAAGTTCCAGCTTAGCTAAAGAACTTGGATATATTTTAAAGTGGTTGATTTTTGTTTACTTTCACTTGAGAGAAGTATGCCTTTAAGAATATTATATTTAACTAGATGTCAGTCCTAATGCTTAAAAATGAAAGATGTGGAGTTTCTATTCGAACATTTATGTCTAGATATGAATTTTCTAGTATGTCAACTCTATGTACATCGTAGAATTTACATAATTTACGTTTTATTGTCCTTTTATTCTCATGTTTACTTATTAAAAAATGAGACATCCTTCTAATTCTTTCTTTTCCTTTTCTTTTGCGCATATGCATTTTGGGCAAATCACGGAGTCTTAAGGCAAGACTCTCCATACCCGAGCATGGAGTCACCGCAAAGCATCTTCCTTAGAGTGCACCGGATATCGAGAAAACAAGCAGACTTGCTTGGGGTCGCCTATGGCGGCTTTCACTCATTCTGTCTAAATATATTTGTTAACTTTTGGTGGCTTGATTTTGTTTCTTATCTATAACTGATGATTAATATTTTTCATTGAGGGATTACAACTCTAATTTTAGTAAGGCATTTTGTTGATTAAGCTTTATCACCTAGCGTAGTGAGGGTGCTATCTTCGAGACCTAAAGGAAAAACCGTTTCTTTTAATCACATCAGGACACATTGGAACACAGTTTTAAAAAAACAAACAAGTCTCTTTGAGTTGAAATTTTGAAGAAGTTTAGTGATTCCATCGAGTCACTTTCGTGCAAAACAAAAGTAGTCTTTGAAGCTCCATTTATAACGTCAATAGTGAGTTATAAACTTGTTGTCCATTCATTTAAAATATTTCAAAGTTGAATCACGTACTAATAGGTTGTCTTCCCTAAAACCATGTCAAAATGCAATGTTTCAACAAGTTTCAAAATTATTAACCTAACTTTGACCGGTTAACCGTATTTAACGGATCATATAGAGTGTTTAATACCTTCTCTATAAGATTAATTAGAACCCTTACCCATAGTCTTAAAGGTTAAGTAGACTGTATAAATAGAGTTAACTTTAGCGTTATTTAGATAAAAGATGGTGTCCTAATTCACCTTAAAATAGTTAGGTGGCGACTCTCTTAAAATTAATTAAACCTCAAAATCGCTAATATGGCATACTCTAATTTGACCCGATTAAAATGGGGTATAACAATTACATTGTGTATCTATATTTACTATCTATGTACAAAATTATGATAAAGAGAATGATCCCTTAAATATAGGAATTAATTTGTAACTGTATCTCCCATCTCCATCTATCAACTTAATTAGCCTCCTACAATTATGATTTTCTTCCATATTTCAAAAAAAGTTAAAGTCATTCTCTATACAAATCAACCACTCTCTCTCTCTCTCTCTCCCTCTCTCTCATATAAATCAAACTATTATCTCTATAAAATTGTAGCATCATATATTTCTCTGAATCAATTCTACCAACAACCATTAAAAATCTTCAACTATTGACAAATCCATCGATAATATCTCTGAAATTGCAGGTAGAGGGGTCTGCCATTGACATACCATTAAAGAACTTCGAAGCTTTAAATTAGATATTCGGATTTTACGAATTTGTGATTTCTTTGGATTGGGTGTTCTTGAAAACGATTGAAAATATCCTTTAGATTTTATATCTCAATTTTAAGGGAGATTGGTTAAGTTTAAAGTTGCTTTTAGGTTGAATTTCAGATTGAAACTCGAGAAAGAGAAGTTTCGGAATTGTATTATGATTGTATGATAAATGTATCATAATTGTATTTGAGTTGTATTTGATACGTCAATACTTAAGACAATTCTGATACAATACTAATACTATTAAAATACAATATTGTATCATAATTTAAGTTTAGAGTTGGTTCTAGGTAGATGTTTTTAATTGAAACTTGAAAAAGATGAAGATCAAAGTTGTATCATAATTTAGAATTGTATCACGATTGTATCATAATTGTATGACAATTTGTACCTAAAACAATACATGATACAATACTAATACTAGTATAATACGATATCGTACCAATTTAAGTTTAGAGTCGGCTTTAAATTGTATCAGAATTGTGTATGAATTCTTTCAGGATTGTATCAAATTTGTATATGAATTATGAGCAGTTGTGAGTTCGTGACGAATTTCACAGTTTGTATCACAAATATATGATAATTATATAATAATTTATTAGTATTGTATCAGGTATTATTTTAGATATTAATGTACCGTCTACAAGTTAGATACAATTGTGATACAAGTATGATACAATTATGTTTTACGCATTAATGTATCTGATATAATTCAAATACAACTATAATACATTTATCATACAATTCCTGAATATTTCTTCATTTTTAGTGTTGTCCTATCTCCCAGCAAAAGAACGATGCAATTGATGATTTAATAATATAAAGCTGTCGGCAATAGTGGGAAGAGAGAAGATGGAGATTATGGATGGAGATTATGGATGTAGATTAAGGGATTTTGATGTATAAAAAAGAAGGAGAGAGAAGAGGAGAGGGGAAAAAAAAGGAAAAAGATATAATTGAATCCCTTAATTGAAGACACTAATAATGGGGTGTGAGCATTTTTAGGAGCAATCTACACAATTTATAAGAAAACCTAGATACTTATTAAAAAGTACAAAACATAGAGAGCATTAATAAATAAGTTTCTAATATAGCTAGGTAAAAATCCCATATTTGTGCACTTTGCCCAAACATATCACTAGCCCAATATCCATAGAGTGCTAGTTGGGCTAACCGAACCCACCGACTGTAACCATATTTTACTACAATCCAATCCGCACGTAATACCAAACTCTTTCCATTCAACGTGCCTAGCCCGCAAAATCACAGATCCCTTCCCTTTCCCGGTAACACAGATTCTCTCTCTCCCTCTCTCTCTGAGATCGACTCAACTGTGCATCCACATCTGAGTGTCCCCACTTCATACACAGAGATTACACATTCAACAAACAAATTTAAGAATACAAATTTACACACATATATCATTGTGGAAATGAAGGATGATGAATCCATACCAGTTTCTACACCTACAACACATTCGAAGAATTCCACATCTGATGCCACATTATTCGGAAGAGGTCGGTACAAGTTCTGGGCATTGGCCGGTATTCTTTTGCTTGCATTTTGGTCAATGTTTACTGGTACTGTTACTCTCCGATGGTCCGCCGGTAACCTCAACGGTCTCTCCGATTACTTCAATGTTCCTCTCTCCGATGATCTCGACGTCATCGTACGGTTACTATGCCCTATACTTTTTCCTCTATGTAAATAAATTCATCCATTACTATTCAATTTTGACTATGATTTTTACCAAGTTCTATGCAGTGAAAGGTGTAAAAAGTATTTACCCGATCATGTCACTTAATAGGTGATTGCATGTAAATCTTCTGATAAATCGGTAATCTAGTAAAAGAAGGCAATTGACCTGCTATCACATGTTAAAACTCACTGATAGTGTACAAAATCTTTACATTTTCAGTGTAGGTAACTTAAATGTAGAAAATATTTATCCAATCGGATCACTTAATAGGTCATACAAGTAAATCTTTTGATAAATTTTAATTGGTAGTCTAGTAAATATGCTTACTAACCTGCTATCATAGGTTAAAATTCATTGACAGTGTAAAAGAATCTAGTGCATATAGCTTAAATCCAAAACAGAAAATTTACACAATCAGGTCACTTAATAGGCAATAATCGGTAATCTAGTAAAAGAAGGTAACTAACTTGGTATCACGTGTTAAAATTCACTCATAGTGTACAAACTCTTTACATTTTCAGTGTACGTAACTTAAATGAAGGAAATATTTATACAGTCAGATCACTTAATAGGTAATACAAGTAAATCTTTTGATAGCGTTAATTGGTTATCTAGTAAAAATGGTTACTAACTTGCTATCACAGGTTAAAATAAAATTCACTGATAGTAGAAAAAAAAGTATGTATGTAACGTAAAGATATGAGAAGAATTGTAAATTTTTAATTTAAAAATGAGGAACTAATCTTGTTCGATTTAGCTAGGAGAATTCGTTAAATTGATGCAGGGGGGTACATTATAATAGTGTTTGATTTGATTCTTTGAGAAAATGATTTAATCTTATTTGGTAGGAAATGGAAGAGAGGGAGAAGTTGGTGAAGCATATGTGGGACGTGTATACTAATACTCCTCAGATCAGATTGCCTAAGTTTTGGCAGGAGGCATTCGAGGCAGCCTATGAGGAGTTAACCAGTGACCTTGCTGATATTCGAGAGGCTGCAATCTCTGAGATCTCTAAGATGTCTCTCCGATTTGTTCATATGGAGCTGCCACCTCTGCATTCATTGGTTAGCTCTCTCTCTCTCTCTCTCTCTCTCTCTCTCTCTCTCTCTCTCTCTCTCTCTCTCTCTCTCTCTCTCTCTCTCTCTCTCTCTCTCAATCCAGTTATTTGCTGTATTCTACATGTGTCTGTTGATCCCGCAATTTAACCTTCTGTTTAGGCCGTCTGGGAATTGTTGTCTTTCTTAGTTTTCGAGAACCCTCCAGTTTGCTATAATTATAAAGTATTGGAATGAAGCGAAGCCAAATGGAGTGTAGTGGATGTAGAGGATTCACGTAACTGACTCAACTAATTTAGGATTGAGTCATAGTAGTAGCAGTTGTTGCGCTTGGGAATTGATCATATTGCAGATTGGTGTATTTCATGGAGAAGTTGCGAATCAATGTTCAGGAATTAGTTGAGTGCCTCTTGTTCACTGAAAGTTGTTTCCTTATTTTATGGCTTCTGAGCATGCTACTTTGAATAGTAACTAACGGTCCTTAAAACCTAAGCTGCTGTTATATGAGGATATAATAAGTTTCGACAAGAATCAGTTCGTGGAAGCTAACATCGAATATACATGACTTGCAAGCAGCCTTGCATGATAAAAAATAGATCTTGTAGGATTTTGAGTGCATAGGTGATAGAGTATTCGGTGCAAATGCAAGTAGGCAGTATAATATAGGTAAATATTTTGAAGGCATAGAAATAGTTCGGGTAAGCTGCATCTGCACTATTGAACTTTGTCTTGTGGGGCTTGGTGGAACTTGATCCTTTGTGCAAATGTACTTACACATCAAGAAAGTGGTTGGTATGTTACTATCAATTTGAATAATATCTCTCTTTGCCTCACAAATTTGACCTTATTTGTCTCGAGTGTATTCACTTGTTAAGTTACTTGTCTATTTAGTCGAGATGCTTTCTTGTGAGTTAGAGAAGTGGATTTACCACTGTAAAGAACTTCCTCTTTCCAAAAATTGTATAATTTGGTGACTTTTCATGTCGGTTAAAAGAATAACGTTTTAATGAGTTACTGTTATATTTTGTTAGGCTTAATATGTTATTTTGAAGATTCGAAGCTGATTAATATATAGTGGGGGAATCTGGGCTAATCAACTAATATGCCTTAAACAAGCTTTCAGATCTTCGAATCATCATCTCCATCACTTCATTGTAATTATTTGGGTTGTCATTTAGAAAAAGATTATTCTGAGCTCTGTGCTGAACTGCTGATATAAGAAGTAATATGCACCACCGAAAAAGAAAAATAGGAATTTCCTTTTATGTTGTTCTGTTATCTCAAAATGGTAAAAACATGAATACTTAAAAGTGTCAGGAATTGGATTTCTATGTTCATTATCTCTCATTGAATTAGTGTTCATCTGTATCCATGAATGTTAGATGATTTTTTCCTATTGAAGTTTGTGTTTGGCATGCAAACTTCGCTTTCAAAAGTATTCCACGTTTTGAGATTTTGTTTGGCCGGTGAATTTTCAAAAAAAAAAAAAAAATCATGAGAAGCAAAAGAAAATATATTCATCAACACATTTTTATTTGTTTAAAGTTATTTCAAAAAGAGATTCTCCAAAAAACTTTTTCAGGAATGTGTTTCAATGCCACTGAAGTATTATTAAATCAAAGTTCCTGAGGATTAACACATGCAACCTAATTTGGACTTTCCTTTTATAGTTTTTCTTTGTTTACTTCAGATTTTTGAAATCCTTCATCATCTACAAACTTTATTAGTTCAATTGTTTAGTTTTTAAACAGTAATTTAAAGTTTGTCCAGTGAAATGCAGTCAATCTATTGGTGCAACCATCTGTCTCTTCTTCTTCTTCTTCTTCTTCTTCTTCTTCTTCCTGTCTATGCATTGTTCAGGACTTTTTTTCCGTAACTAATTTTTCTCCATATTTCTAAAATCCTTGGATGATAAAACTAAATTACCTTCTTCTAGCCAGTAGTAACCTTTTATGCTCTGTTATGGAATCTGGATACTCTCAATTTTGATTTACTTAATGATCTGTCATCATTAGCAGTTTTCATTTATTAAACCGAAAAGTATCCTCTAGCTGTTCCTGTGCAAAGGCGTGGGGTCTTAGCTGTATATTCCGTCACTTGTAGGAATTAATGACCACTCTTGATTATGATGGTTGAATAGCTCAGTCTCTTTTGTCTTTTCGATTTTATCTTTAAAATGAGAATGCATTTTCCTTTTGATCCAAAATCTGCCTTGCCTTTGCATCCACAATACTCGACTCTTCTTTTCTGAGGTGGTTGTTGTTTAGTGTAGGACTTAGTCGTCTTTAAGTTAATATGCATTTCGGGCATCAAGAGAAGGAAACAATTTGCCCGTACTCAGTGTTTGCACCAAGCAAATGAATGCAAGACTGAGTGCAAACACTGAGTGCTGTTCAGTTTAATTTGAATCTCTTAAGGTTCAATTGCTTGGTTTGGTGCAAACACCGAGTGCTGTTCTTCTATCTGCTATTGTGAGTTGCAGCTAATTTCTAACTGTTGCTAGAGTTGCTTATAAGGATGTTGTCATCAAGTGGTGGCATGATACTTATTGCTTCTATTTTTGAGTAACATTAGAGAGCTTGTGATTTCGTTCGTCCTTGGCATGAATATCACAAAGGAGTTAGATAAGTACAATATCAGCCATTATACATTGGATTAATCTTTTCTTGGAGTTGCTAAACTGCACTTTACCAAGTTAACTATTCAAGTTCTGAAAGCAAGCAAATAGTCCATTCAGAGGAGTTATTATGAACTTTAAGGGGAAAATGTATCATTGCCACACTTGTGATCTTTTAAGGATGATACTACTTTCAGGGAGAAACAAAGGAATTTAAATCAGGAATTCAGTTATGTCTATTCCTCTCTAGTGAACTTTACCATCCCTAACCCCTGTTATCCACCTTAACATATTTAAGTGCAGGATACTTACAGGGAGAACTCCCTTGTGAGATGTAGTAAGACTTGTGGAAAAGGTTACATGATCCTTTTGTCGATCTACTTGTTACTTTATACTAAATGATCCGTGGTTGATCTTCATGAGGGTCACTGTGGATTTGTTGCATGTGCCTATTTAGGTTTGACCTATGTTGCGTGGACTCTCCAAAATGATGCCGCACCCATGTCGGATCCTCCAAAAATACACTATTTTTGGAGGATCCGACACCGACACGCACCCGGGGACATTTTCGGAGAGTCCAAGCAACATGGGGTTGACAGATGAACCAACTGCTGCTTGCTATTACTTTGAAATTTTTTTGTTAGGTTTTTTTTTTTAGTTAAGATATATAAATTGATTTTTGGGCAGCTGCTCTTAGTTCTCTCCACAGCCCCTTCAACCTGCCCTTTCACCGTTGTTCTCCTGCAATTGCTCCTTGAACATTTTCAATCATTGAAATTGACATGCATGTTTGATCTTTCCGTAAATCATTTCAGGCAGTAAGAGAATTAAGTCAAAAACAAGCTGAGAACAAACAGACGAATGCAAAAGGAAGTTAGTTATGACTAGAAGAACATCAAGGATCCAAATTTGCACGGTTGCCACTTATTTATACAAAATATACATGATGAATGAAAACTTACAACAACCTGCTCTCTGGTATTTGACTAAAGGGAGCATTTGAGAACACCTTAAGGTCCCTCGCACTTTTGCAACAGGGATAAACATAATTAATTTTTTGTTACTTCTACCTCTTTTTCTCTCTGTACCCATCTCCCCATTGAAAGCTCATATGAGTGCAGAATTCAACAGTATCATGATTTAATTGATTCATGTAAAGAAATCGGAAGTTACTTCCGAGGTTTTTACGTTGGAAGTGCCTTTCTAATTCTTTTGTTTTCCACTTGAAATACCCATTACACAAACTTGCAATGGAATAGAAAGATTATATTTGTTCTTGTATATCATTGTGTTGTAATCCTTGGAGGTAAGGCCCCACCTCCTATCTTTTGGAAATAAATACAACACCACAGGAAACCTGGGAAATTCTATAAATAAAAAAAAGATACACATGAACAATTAAACCAAGAAAAATTAGATGTAAACGGACTATATCTAGAGCCAAAGTTCATTTTCTTGTCAAATTTTGTGACTTTAACCAATATCTCTGGTGATTAAAATCTCCAAGTATCATGTTATTCAGAATACTCTTTTTCGGAATAATATAGGTACTCTTTTCATTGAAGCACCGCTAACCTGTGTTGATGGGGCTTACTATAGAAAATAAAGTTGATCTTTTGTCACCTTTTTTTATCATGCTGTAACCTTGATGTGATAGATCATGTTAAAATGTTTTTTTTTTTTCCGGTAAATAAAGAATTTTATGGACACAGTTTTCACATTATTATTGGATGCAGCAAAGACTCAAAGTAAGCAGATTGCTGGCCAAATGGAATCATATGTTGGCTTAAACTTACAAACCAAGCGTATTGAACTCATCCATTTGCATCAGTTTGGCTAAGTGCAGTCCTTATGGAGAAAAGAGAAAAAGAGAAGAAAAAAGAGGGACTTGATTAGATGAATAAACTAGCTTAAGACAACCTGTGTACACACATAAGAAGAATGGTATAGTCAATCTTGAAACTCATTATATAATTCGTATTTTGGTCTTCAGTTATCGCCCTTCTGCCACTGATATAGTTATATCATTAACGGACTGAGCGTTGCCGCTTTGTGATTGAAGATGAGAATACAACCATCTTTGAAATATAAATGTAGGTTGCTTTGGTTGAGGCAGATCCATGTCGCTACTACTTAGCATAAGAACAACAGATGACATCGATGGCCTATCGATGCCTATCAGCTGCATTGTCTTGGAGACAAAGCAGGCCAACTTGTATGCATCTCAACACTGTCACAGGAGAAAATGAGCCGGAAAGTGTTTTATCCATTAAATCTAGTGCCTTGCTTTCAGTCAAAAGCTGCCATGCCTGAAATTAATGTAAAATTGGAAATAAGTAGATAACTTTGCAACAACAATAAACCAAGTATAATTCCACAAGTGAGATCTGGGGAGGGTACAGTGTACGCAGACCTTACCCCTAACTTAAAGGTAGATAGGCTGTTTCTGATACACCCTCAGCTCAAGGAAAGATGAAAAGAAAGCAGTAGCAACAAGTAGTAACAACAACAAGATAATAAGAAAACGAAGCGAAAGGAACAACATGTTGTAATAGAAATCTAACAATAATAAAACACAAGACTAACACTAATACTACTAAAGGGCAGCCCGGTGCACTAAGCTCCCACTATGCGCGGGGTGCAGGGAAGGATCGGACCATAGGGGTTTATTGTACCAGCCTTACCCTGCATTTTTGCAAGAGGCTGTTTCCACTAATACTACTGGTATGGGAAAATAAGTAGATAACTGTTATTTGTGGCTTGAATTAATTCCTTGTATTTTTAGGCAACCCATAATCTCTATAGGTTTAGGAAAACCCATTGTCCTAATAGATTTGGGAAAGGAAAACCTATAGTCCTTGTCAAATTGGGAAACCTTTTTCTTATATGTTTGGGATCTTTTGGGATCTATATATAGGGGTTGTAGTTGGGGATTCAAAAGATTGTATTGTGCTTTTCTTCTCATTCATAGTGAAAAACTCTCTCTGCTTTTGCCCCGAGGATTAGGCTTAGCCGAACCTCGTTAAATCCTTGTGTTGATTTTTCTTCTCTATTTGCTTTGTGTGTGATTGTGTGCTAGTTAATCCACGATATTCTGCAACAATTGGTATCAGAGCAAGGTTCGGGTTTCTACATATAATCTAGGGTTAAGATGTCTTCATCATCTTCAACAAAGTACGAAATAGAGAAACATGACGGGGGTTCTAGTTTCAGTCTATGGAAGATTATGATGAAATCGTCCCTGGTGTTACAAGGGTTATGGAAGGCAATTGATGAGGATTTTCCTGAAGAGATGAAGGAGACAAAGAAGGCAGACCTGAAGGAGAGGGTTTTGAGTGCGATTTTCATGAGCGTTACAAATAGCGTTCTTCGGAAAATTGCTGAAGAAACTTCTGCAGCAACGGCATGGAAGAAGCTGGAAGATCTGTATTCTAAGAAATCGCTAAAAAACCGCCTCTACCTGTAAAAAAGGTTATACAATCTCCGTATGAATGAAGGTACACGTGTTAAAACTCACGTTGATGAGTTTAATTCAATTATAATGGACCTGAAGAATGTTGATTTCAAAATTAAGAGTGAGGATCAGGCCTTGAATGTGTTATGTTCTTTACCACCGTCTTATGATACTTTTGCCGATACGCTGCTGTATGGGAAAGACAGCATTTCACTAGAACATGTTAGTAATGCACTAAAATCTAAAGAGTTGAAAAAGAGCTTTCTAGACAGCAGAATTGAGGGCGAGGGTCTTGTGATTAGAGGAAGAACACAACAAAAGGACTTTAACAGGAAAAAGTCAACCGCCAGATCAAAGTCTAGAGCAAGGAAGCAACACTGTTATGAGTGCGGGTAGCAAGGTCACTACAAGAGAGATTGTCCTAAGCTGAAGGAGAAAAGAGGGAAGCAAAAAATAGATAATTCGGCAAATATTGTTGACACTAGCAATAATTCCGATGATAGTGACTATGTAGGGGAAGTCTGTGCTGTGAGTTCTAGTCATGGGAAGAATTCTTGGGTTCTTGATTCTGGCGCTAATTTCCACATGTGTCCACACAAGAATTGGTTTGCAACTTACAAGCAAATGAGTGGGACTGTCTATATGGGAGATGATAATCCATTACCAGTAGAGGGGGTTGGTAACATCAAACTGAGAATGTTCGACGGAATTATCAGAAACATTGAGTGTTGGCATGTTCCTCGGATAAAGAGAAATTTGATTTCTCTTTCGACTTTGGATGATCAAGGGTATAAATTTCACTCCGAGAATGGAATACTTAAAGTGTGTTAAGGCTCCATGGTACTCATGAAGGGTAAACTACATTCTAAATTGTATCATCTTCAGGCCAGTGTAGTTGAAGGGGAAGCTGCTGTAGCTTCTGGGAAAAGTGATCTGAATCAGTCTCAGTTGTGGCACTTGCGACTTGGCCATATGAGTGATAATGGATTGTCTTTGTTGAGTAAGCAGAATTTGTTGAATGGGTACAAAAATCAAGTTTTGAATTTTTGTGAGCATTGTGTGTTTGGTAAACAGACAAGGGTAAAGTTCATCAAGAAGGTCGAGCACAAGACCAGAGACAAGTTAGATTATATACACTCTGAATTGTGGGGTCCAAACAGAGTTCCTTCCAAGAGTGGTGCCAGGTATTTTATGACTTTGATTGATGATTACTCAAAGATGGTGTGGGTGTATTTTCTGAAAACAAAAGATAAGGCATTTTCGACATTTGTTAAATGGAAGACGATGGTTGAGAGGCAGACGGAAAGAAAAGTTAAGCGTCTTCGAACTGACAATGGTTGGAATTTTGCAATTCCGAGTTCGATAATTTCTGCAGCAGGGAGGGCATAGTGAGACACCGCACTTGTGTCGGAACACCACAACAAAATGGTGTTGCAGAACGTATGAATAGAACGCTTTATGATAGGGCACGAAGCATGCTTTCACACTCATGTGTTAGCAAAGATTTTTGGGTTGAAGCAATCAATACAGCTTGTTATTTGGTCAACAGATCTCCATCCACAGCTATTGAGTTCAAAACTCCTTTTGAGGGATGGTCCGGTTCGCCTGCTGATTATTCAAATTTAAGGATATTTGGTTGTCCTGCTTATGCTCATGTGATGGATGGAAAACTTGAGCCGAGGGCAAAGAAGTGCATATTTCTAGGTATGCAACTGGAGTGAAAGGTTATAGGTTGTGGTGCACAGATCAAAAAACTCCAGGGCTAATTATTAGTAGGGATGTAACATTCAATGAATCTGCCTCACTAGACAGTCAGAGGGAGAAGGCAATAGCAGAAATAGATCGTGGTGTCAGTGACCTCTTAGAGCTAGAAATTGAATCTCCACTAGCTCAGCCCAATAGTTCTAAAGTAGAAGAAGTGCAAAATATTGATCAAGATGATAATGCTGATGCACCTGCGTAACAACCCTATAGCATTGCAACAGGCAGAGAGAAGAGAGTGATCAATCCACCACAAAGGTTTGCAAACGTAGCTGATGGTAATTTTCTTGGATATGCTAATTTTGTGGAGTTTGCTTTGTCTGTTGCAGAGACCATTGATGTGCTTGAGCCTAATAGCTATAAAGAAGCTATTTCTAGTCCAGAAGCAAATCAGTGGGTTGGTGCTATGAGTGAAGAGATTGAGTTTCTTCATAAGAATCAGACATGGAAGCTTGTTCCATTGCCAAAGGGACAGAAGGTATGAGGCTGCAAATGGATTTTCAAAAGAAAAGAGGGCAATCCAGAGGTTGAAGCATCAAGGTACAAAGCAAGATTAGTAGCTAAAGGTTTTACATAGAGGGAGGGGATAGATTACAATGAAATGTTCTCTCTAGTGGTAAAGCATAGTTCTATCAGGGTCTTCTGGCTTTGGTGGCTCTTCATGACTTAAACTAGAGCAGTTAGATGTGAAAACTGCATTCTTGCATGGTGAGTTGGATGAGAAGATTTATATAAGTCAACCCGAGGGATTCATTACTCAGGATAAGAAAAATCATGTTTGCTTGCTTAAGAAATCTTTATATGGTCTGAAACAGTCGCCTAGGCAGTGGTATAAAAGATTTGATACATTCATGATTCAAAATGCATTTTCTCGAAGTGCATATGATAGTTGTGTGTATTATAAAAGGCTTGAAGACGGTTCTAGTGTATATTTATTGTTAT